ACCCTTAGCTACCTGAGTTTAACCCTTTAGTCACCGAGTGCTGGCCAACACTACTCCTATCCATCACAGTTTCTCCTTCTCACTAATCTATGTTATAATTATATAGCATCATTGAATCACAGACCACTAGAACTGGAAGAGATGTTGAGAGGTCAAGTCCAGTCATCTGTACTCACAGTAGGACTAAGGACCATCTAGATCATCCCAACAGATGTCTATCTAACCTGGTAGGGATGGTCTAGATCAGTGGTTCTCAACGTGGGCCATATGGCTCCCCAGAGGGCCATGCCTTACTTCTAGGGGGCCACATGGAAAAAAATGGAATGTTAGGGGACCACAGTAAGTTTCTGAGGGGGCCACCCAAACTTAACTGCCAGGCGTATGATGAATGAGACTCAGAAGTGGGCCATGACCAAAAAAAGGTTGAGAAACTCTGGTCTAGATCTGTGGTGTCCAACATGCAAGGCACTAGCCACATGTGGCTATTTGGCCGGTTGAGTGTGGCTAGCTGCCTTGAACAATGTGACTATTTGGCTGGTTGAGTGTGGCTAGTTCACTCAACCATTATAGTGGCTTTATTTGATGGTGCTTAGTCCTGCCATGAGTTACTGACTTCTAGAGGTTCCTTCCAGTTCTATGAATCTGTCTAAAAAGCCATCTATGGACACTCAGCAGCTAATACTTGAGACAAGGGAGTAGATGATCAACACTGAACAGTACAAGTAATGGAAACTGCTGAGTAATTATCCTCCTATTGCTTCATTTGCTGAAAATTGCTTGAGTGGATGGGTACGCCCAAGGTTTCATTTTCTAGTATGAGACTGAGCTCAACTGTTATCAGTTTTGCTTTGGATGTTTTCATTCTCTATAGACTATCCTGACTGAAGAACCCAATCATTTATCTGTTGCCAGATGTCCTTGTTTTTGATTTTGTTCAGTGTCTCTAGACCTGTAGCTATATAACCAGCCTCGGTGTTCTGTCCTAGTCCAAACCTCCCCATATGTCAAGATGTGTCCTGTCAGGAGATAGGAGGTTTTGGCACAGGGGACAGTTGTAAGGCAAGCTCACTTCACATTCACCCTGCAATGATAGTTGCTGCCCTGCCATGCTGCCTGGCCTTGGCTCCCTGCTCCAGGTTTTGTAGCACACAGAGTCACAGCCCTGCTGAGGGCTGGCCCAACCCCACTGACAGGGAGCAGACAGACAGACCAGCAGCACTGAACAAGTGGCACTAAAATCTTGTACTCCGGGGCCCAATGTAGGGAGCTAAGCTGAGCCAGCCCTGTTACTTCAGCTAGGAGAGAGAAGTTGAAGTTCAAAGCTGTGAAATGCCAGGCTGCTGGGAGGTAGGCTAATAAACCTATCTCGTTAATTTATATGATATTGGGCTAGTTTGGTTTTTTTAGTACGGACCGAGAAGATGAATGGTTTTTTGTTGTTATTTTTTAACCAATTTAGAGCTTGATTTTGTGCCTAGGAATCTGTTTTTTTTCCCATATTAACCATGTATTGGCTCTCTAACTACATTTCTTGCCATGACTTTCAGGGTTTAGTGTTTATTGTTTCTAAATTAGATTTGGCAATTCTCATTGCCAAGAGCTATGCAAATCCATTGTTTAAGCCTGCTGTCACACTGGCAAACTTCCATTGAAACCAATGGTGATGTATCCAGTCACACCAGTTCAGGATCTGGCCCATTCAGGTATTTTGCTCATCTCAGCTGCTTTGCAAGTTGTACCCTAAGGCTGTGTCTACATTGGCATGATCTTGTCCTCAAAGCATTGCTGGAAATTGCCTTTCTGCCCGTTGACCACATGGTGATTCCTCCGCACAGTCCACCAGATCCAGTCTTCACGTGCAGTGGGTGACAAGCCCAAAACTCACCGATGGTTCAGAGCCCATCGGCTACCCTCACCTGGGTCAGCCGACCAGTCGAAGCCGTTGCCCGTGGTGTGGCTGCTGAAACATGCTGATGTATTAAAGTAGGGGTATACAAAAAATTATAAGAAAAATCTGTATAATCTTAGACAAAACACTTCTCTGTGCCTGAAAAATGTGGATAATGGTACTTAGTCACTTTTGAGAAGCCACATCCCTCACGTCAGATTTTCGTATACCCCTACTTTAAAACGTGCTGATGTATACCCCAACTTTAATATATCAGCACGTTTTAAAGTAGGGGTATACGAAAATCTGACGTGAGGGATGTGGCTTCTCAAAAGTGACTAAGTACCATTATCCACATTTTTCAGGCACAGAGAAGTGTTTTGTCTAAGATTATACAGATTTTATACAGCAAACAGAACAGAACTCATGTCTTCTGAGATTAAGTCCTGTACCTTAACCATTGGACCACCATGTTTTCATTACCTGTGCACTAAGTTCACACATCACCTACAGTACATCATAAATAAACAATTGTAATAAGACACAGTTAAAAAGATGACCCCTGTTGAAATAACATATGCAAGCAGTAAACTACATGAGCCTCTATTGCCCAACTTATCTTAGGTGATGAAAACTGGTAGTTAGAGTTCAAATGACTCATGTAGTATTCTAGAAGTTATAAACACTCTGAGCCACAGCAATGTAGCTTTCTGTTGAGCTGCCTTTGTGACAGAGGAAAAACAGACATACGAAGAGGAAAAAGCTACTGTCATTGCTTCCATTAAGAAGCTGGTGTGAGATCAGTGCCTCTAATCAGGGTAAGTAATATACAGTAGAGAGGAGAGATTGATGGAAGGAAACTTGTTATTGATTTTTCTTTTCTTCAGAAAAATGACATGTGGGTTCAATGGTTTGCAATGACACATTTATCAATAACACTCCATTTGTGACCACCTAGTGAATTCTGTCATCACAGTCCATCTAAATTTCTTCCCACTTAAGCACAAAGGTATCCCTTTTTCACTTAGTTCTTCTTTTGTGACTTTGTCACGCTGTCCTTAAAAAAAGAAAACAGTTTGAAAAGCCATCCCAAGCCAACTGTGTTATTAACATCTGGTAGTAACACCCTTAGAACCAGTACAGAATAAGCTATGGTCCTCAAGTAGCTGGGGTAAGGAATGAGCTCCTGCCTGACTTTCATCCTGTCCCCATATAGGAAGTCTGGACTTTAGAAATCTGGCTTTGAGCACTGTTATGATTAACATGTTTTTAGGATTTTTTTTTTGATAGCTGAATGTTCTGAAAAAGCCTGAACCAAACTAGCCTAAGTCAGTTAAAATAGTCATGTACAGAAGATGACAAAGCACAGTAGATGGATTTGGCAGGAATTAGAACAAGCAATTCTAGGTGGCTTTAGCTTCCTTGCTCTGCACATTACTCCTCTGCATTTAGATGTCCACGATGCTATTTGAAAAAAAGGCTCTGAACCATACATCTTTAATTTATAACGTTCTTGAGTGACAGATCATCTTTCCCCTGTGACCCAAATGCCAGAGGTCAGATGGGCTATGTCTACACAGCAGCATTATTTTAGAATAGCTGACATTATTCCGAAATAACAAAGTGCGTGTCTACACTGCAAGCCATTATTTTGAAATAATGTCGAACTGGAGGACTTCTTACTCAGACTCATGGTAACCCTCATTTCACGAGGAGTAAGGGAAGTCAAAAGAAGAGGGTTCTTCCTTCAACTTCCAGCTGTGTGGACAGCACCCAAAGCCGAATTAAGCTATTTTGACTTCAGCTATGTAATTGATGTAGCTCAAGTTGCGTCGCTTAATTCGACCTTAGCCCTGCTATGTAGACGTACCCCTGGAGATGGAAGTAACTGAGTCCAGTCCTGCAAGAAGCTAAACACCTCCCACAACGTACCTGGCACCCTTAAGTCCCAGGAAGTTGATGAGAGCAGAGGGCACTCAGCATTTCACAGGATTAGACCCTTTTACAGCTAAGTGGCTGTATTCATATGTGATCTTCCTTGTTTACCAAGACAAGGGGATCACATTTGATTATGGAATGTTAGCTCTCAGTCTCTAAACATCAGACATTTTGTCATATTCATGCTATCTAAAGAGTCCACAGGTGAAAGGTTAATAAAGTAAGATGTGCTTGAGCTGAATACCTCTCATTGTAGTAGATTTCTCCCCCCACCCATCCCACCTCTTTGGCTCCAAAATATTAACCATCAGTAAGTGAGAAGTTAATGACCTTCAACAAAGATGCATTATTTTGCACAGCAACTGTGCCATACTGGGTCAGGATGATTGAATGCTACATTGCATGTTAAAAGTGATAACTGGAGTGACTTTAAATCAGAAATCTTTGTTGAAGTGTAGAAAATAAATATAGCACACCACTTTGGTCTATGGTGTGTGTCATTTATCTGTCTTTGATGTAGGTCAGCAAGCACTGTAAGTGGTTTATCACTTATACCCTTCCCTCCTGCTAACATAAATGGGAAGTGCCTAAAGTGAATACTTGAAAGTGAGAAAAAGAGGTTTGCCATGAGAAATTCCTATTAGACAAAGAAATCTGAACCGAGAGACCCAGAGCTATAAAACCTTGAGAGAGAGCAAGTAGAAACAGAGTTCTGGATTTGCCCCTCCACAGTGCACCCCATCAACACCCAAGATCCAACCTAATCTGCATTCCAATTTCACAACTCATATACATTGTTCTTAAAAAGAGATGGGCTCATCTGACATTTTACAGAGAGCTGTTTCTTTCTTAAACAGATCTAGCACTACTGAAAATAGTGGTTGCACTATATTAATGCCACCATTCCTAGAAAAGGACTACACCATTTTTAGTGTAGAAGTTGCCCTGTTTGAGTTTGGCTGTGGAAAAATAGAGCATACACCCAAACTAGTTAGCCTGCCATCAGATTTGGGAGTGTAGCATTTTGAGACAATTTTGGAATCTAGTCAGACAATTACTACTCCTACAAAATGTTCACCATGTACTGTACACAGTAAAAACAAATGAAAATATCTGCTAGAAGCCTTATGTGTTTAAGGGTGGAACTCTAATTATAAATCACCAGTCTCCTGACCTTTTTGTAGCGGATGCTGTTAAGTGGTCAATAGTATGTACTGTCTTTTCTATCCTGCAGGGAAGCAATAAGCCGACTGTGCGAAGCTGTGTCAGGAACAAATGGAGCTATAAAAAAGCGGAAGGTAAATATTGCATTAGCAGGTCCCGTTTTCCATTTTTATATTTGCTTTTTATGAGTTAGATGATTCCCTAGCAGGATTCAGCCCACCATGGAATTTATGCAAGTTCAGTTCAATTACATATTATAAATACAAAAATGTATTTATAATACACCATTTAAAACTACTTGTTATTTGATGAGCTCTAATCAGTACTCTGTCTTAGAGCCCATAAAAGTAAATACCTTGCTTGACTTTTCTATTTACACTCAGATATCCCAAGTCTCTGCTTTGCCACGACCAGGTTTTGGTTGAAAAACCAAGCAGGGTATTTGATTGTGAAAGAGATTGCATTAATTGGGGCTTTTCATTGATGATCTTCTTTAGATTAAAAGCTTGAAAACTACCAGAATGAGAGTGGCCAGTAATCTCCATTGTTCATTGATTCAGTGATCTTATGCTTCTTTGATGATTAGAGGTTGTAGATTTCTACCAAGAGCTATGGAGTGCCATAAGGATAACTCTCAGCTCTGGTCTAAGCTAGGGCGTTATTTCAAAATAACCCCCCTTTGGTCAAATTTATAAGCAGAGCATCCACACTACCAAGCCACTTATTTTTAAATCTGTCGTCCTGCTTTCTTCAGGGAATAACGCTAATTTCAAAATAGTTATTTTGAAATAGTGTTAGTGTGGACACTCCGGTGCTGATGCTGCTATTTCGAAATAACTACTCCCCAAAATAATTTGAACAAATTACTCCCCAGTGCTTCCTGGGGTTCTAAGTCGAGGCAGTGCATCTACAGTAGCAGTGCCTGCCTCAGACTAATTTTGAGGCTTCTTCGTAGTGGGGACCCGCTATTTCAATTTTGTAAAATCAGGAGTTACATTGAATTGAACTATTTTGAAATATCCTAGTGCAGACATTCCCTCACTGACCACTTTCTTGCTGTAACCTCGGAAACAAATACATTGAAGAATTTCCTCATTGACATATAGTCCCCAAGAAAAGAAGCAGAATTAAATGGATAAATTATTCATTCAGCTCTGTCTTTTACAAACATAGCTTTTTGGTGTTTTGTTTTTTAATGTTTTTAGTTAATCATTATTAACATATAGGAATGTTACATACAGATATTGAGAAATCTTAGTTATAGCCTGTATTTCTTAAGCCCCATCTGAGTGTGATCAATATCTTACTATCATCTGTGTCTTTCTTTTGTACAGATTCTGGAAATAACTGTACGTTATAAAGTCTGTTCACCGCTGGTATCAGGCTGTCTGTGGTAAACGAAGTTTACAGTATGTTTGTTTGTTTTTGTTTTTATAGCCTCCAGTTAAATTTCTGTCTTCTGTGCTTGGCAAAAGTAACCTTCAGTTTTCTGGCATGAATATAAAACTGATCATCTCCATGAGCAGCCTTACTTTGATGAACGTTGATAACCAGCAGGTAGGATATTTACAAAACAGTTATTTTCAAAGAGATCCTTCCATACACGTTAATATTTTCTTCTACTTTGAGATGCAAATAGCTGTGGTTTTAACACAAACAGGTGCTTGAGAGGGAAAGCAAAACTACTCAGGTTTAGTTGTAAGCCTTGTTAAAATTAGCCAGACTTGGCCTCGCAATTTAAAGGGGAAGAGCTGTAGAGAAATTTGACATTTGTCGCATGTACTTTGTGCTTATAAGAGTGTCTTTTATCTGGAAGCATCCCTAAGCACTGGACAAACAGTGTCTCTTTGTGTACCTCTGCCTCTTCATTTGTACGGTGCCTAATAGGGCTGCAGTGCAGACTGCAGTCTCTTATCACTATCGTCATGGCTCTCCCAGACTTTATGTAAATTGGCTTATTGATATGAATGTGCATAACTTGAAGAGGCTTTGTGTAAAACAGGTCATGTAACATCAGTTTTACAGTCTGCTAAATCTGTAGTCCTGTTTTGAGCATGTGTCATTCTTGTATGTGAAGTTAGAAATATGAAGTGTGGATCTGTTTGTAGTTTTAAATGTGCTAGTAGGAGCCTTTTACTGGTGCTCTGGTACTTAAAGACTCAGCACTCAGACCAATGACTTATGAATGATCTTGTTTGTAAGATAAGCCCAAACTGTGATTGGTCCTAGAAAGACATGTGACCATGCCACCTGGTACTAGAATCCATCTCAAGTCTGGTATTTTTCCATGGGAATGGGGAGTGTGGAATGAAGGATTCCTGTCCCAGGGGACAGTCTATTTAATCAATAGGAAGAAATCAGCTTTTGTCTTCAGCTGGTTTTTAAAACTGCCTGGCACACCCTATGAGGATACTGAAGAAGCTGTAGACCCAAGTCAGAGTAAAAGATCAGCTCTGATTTCAAGCTTTTATCTGAGGCAAGAACAGCTGTGTACGGTAAGAATTTGCATGTATCAAGTTTCTTACTGGATTAGAACTAGCTAAGTGTTTTTGTTTATTTTAATTTAGTAACATACTTTGATCTGACTATTTTCATTTGAAACCACTTAAATCCTACTTTTTATACTTAATGAAAACACTTTTGCTTAGTATCAGGCCCAGTGTTAATAACTGTTACCTGGTGGAGAGTGGCCGATATGCATATCTGTCTTTCACTGAGAAAGTGGGCAGACCGTATAAGCTTTCTCTGTATAAAAGAAAGCACAGAGGAAGGCAGGCATTAGCAGCAAGATCAGCACACCAGAGAACCACCCTAAGGGGACTTCTATGATTCACCCCATCACAACTATCAAAAATAAATATTTAATAACAATAATGGGTCATACTATTGGCCTAAACTCAGTGATCCTCAGCTTCCAGAATGGCCTCAAATTTGGGGCTACAGGCAGTTAGCAAAATTTAGAGCAGCCCTTAGCCTGTCCAAAGCTAGTTTAAGGCTGAACTAATGTGTGTTTATTGTCAGTTACTTATCACAAGCATTTGCTGATTCTCCAGGATATGTGGGGATATTTGCCTGGGGATTGAGGTCTGACTGAGCGCTGTGACATTTGCCTGAGGATTGAGGTCTGACTGAGCGCTGTGACATGATTGTATTCTTGGAACACAGAAGCAACACCTCTCCCTAAGATGACCACTTTAGTTGTGCTTAACCTTCTGTACTGGTTACAGCTGTGTTAGTATTTGCTAGTGCAGGGCTGGGATTTCTTCTTCACTGAATAGTTGACATTTGGGAGCTAGGTTCTCACTCCCTGATTCTGTGGACCAGCCCTGATTCTCACACAATGTTGAGCTGCTGCCAGGCCAGCTCTAAGTTATTCTATTGCCAAAGCATCTTCAGTAGACCCTGTGCCAGTGAAAGATAGTCATGGGCAGATCAAACTTCCAGCACACACCTTCTCCCCCCCCCCACTCTTAACACCTCCTGCCCTGGAAGAGGCAGCGATGCAGGGCATGGCTGTGACCTAGATGCACCAGGCGAGTTCTCTTTACCCCAGGGAAACTGTAGCATTCAGGGGTGTAAAAGAACCAAATCCCAGCTAAAGAATCTGGTGCCAAATGTACTAATGCTTTCTCAGTTCATTTGAAGTCTGGGTATTCAGGGCACTCTCTTGCTGTTCTTTTGAGCCCCTACTTGCTGGACCTTGGTAAATTGAAAATCCAGTGTATTCAGTTAGTTCATTTCCAGCACATTTCACTATTTGCCTGCTTGCTTAATCAATTGCAGTTGGTTCAAATAAAGAACTGTGTGTTCAATGAATATGAGGTAATGCATAAACCTATGAAAAACTGATGCCTGATCCAGCTAGAGAGATTCATGACAAATAAATGAATTGTAATCGAGTGCAGAGTGAATATCACCAGACCACAAACACCAGAAAGCCCTGATCATGAAAATATTCTTCCATCAGATGACTTCTTGTGTGTTTTTATGGATCACTGTCAGTGACATTTAACTGAACTTATTTGGCTTTTAATCACAAATTTATAAATCCACCTCTCTCTTTCTTTATATGGCCATGTTTCTAATATCCAAGCCCAATGCTTATAGCTTCTTATTAATAATTTAAAAACCAATAACTGAATTCATTTTGAAAAAGCCCTAATGCTGGGGATGAAGAAGTCAAAGCTTGTATTGCACTGTATGTTCCCTAATGGTTGCTGGGGATGAAGAAGTCAAAGCTTGTATTGCACTGTATGTGACTCTGACATTTCTGGGTGTATTCCCAACTTCAAGCTCCTTCACAGGAAAATTTCATGATGTGCATTTGATTGGATTAGGTTTTCACTAACTGAGCCATAGATTACTTTCTCTGTGTGGTTATTAGCTGGTATTCTCTATATATACAGAATATGGCCACTCCTAACTGGCTGGTTGTGTTTTTCAGATTATTGCAAACCACCACATGCACTCCATCTCATTTGCCTCTGGAGGTGATCCAGTAAGTACAGATTTATAAGATATATTTCTGTAAGCATAAGGATTAATTACAAGACTAAAAATACCTGCAATTACTCTACTTCATCCCCTCCTATCTCCAGTTAAATTGTATTTACCCAGTACTTAACATTTCTGAGTCATAGCACATTGAACAAGGAAAGTGGTTAGAAGTTAGGATGGAGATTTTGGACTCTTAAGTGCTATTCTGGGCTCTTTCGTAGACTTGCTATATATATAGGACACTTAATATGGTGTAGACCAAGGTCCAGTGTGTTTCAGCAGCAACCCAGGGAACTACAAGTTGTGGACTACAAACTGCGGCATGTTGGGAGAACTTCCTGATTCTTGCCAGGATGTGCCCTCTGCCCCCATCAGGGTCTCAGCAAAGACTGCGCTAGAAGCAGCACACAGGCTGAATGCTGAGAGAAGGGGCTGCTGAACTGTTTTCCTGTTCTATGTTTCTTACAGAATAAAGCCTGTTCCTGGTGATCTGTCTGAGTGGGTCTGGTCTGAGGTGCACTCACACATACACAATACACAACCACAGAGCACACCAAGCAGCCTCAGGCCTAGCCTCCCACAGTGGTGTAAGAAGTCACAAGGCTTCCCCTATGCTGAATAACCTCACACTGGGCTAACCAACAGGAGAGGTTACAATGTCTTTATCTTTTTTCTCTGTCTTAAAAATAATTTCAGAGGTTGCCTTTAGGGGTCTGTGAAGCCAGCAGCTATGGTCTCCCTGTCCTGATTGGGAGACCTAGAAATGGGAATGTTATGAACATAGAGATTGCCAAATTGGATCAGATTTGTGGCCTGTCCTGTCCGGATACCTGTCACCAACTGTGACAAGCATCACAGGCCTTAGAGTAAGGTGCAAAATACCCTGCAATTGGCAAAATTGGGATATCTGTGCAACTTAAGGGGGGAGGGGAGGAAGGGGGGAATTCTCTGAACAGGGAGGTAGGGACATTCTTTGGTCCAAGAGTCTTTGTTCTGAAGTTCTTCAAATCATTAGAGACAGAACTGATCCAAAGACCTAAATCCTAAGGGTATATCTACACTGCATTCCTCATTTCGAGAGAGGAATGCAAATGCAGCTGAGCGAAATTGCAAATGAAGCGTGGATTTGAATTTCCCGTGCTTCATTTGCATAATCGCATCTGGGCGCTATTTCGAAATACCCTATTTCGAAAAAAGAAACGCTGTCTAATGCGGTTATTTAGAAAGAAAAACCTTCTTTTGAAATTACCCTTACGTTAAAGGATAGTTCAGCTCCAGATCCAAATGTTGCTGATTTTAATAGAAATACATTGATTTCTGATTTACGGCTCACTGAAATCCACTCTGAATCATAACATCAGCAATACCAATAACATCTGCTCTCCAATACCAAATTCTACAGGCCACTTTCCTCAGATCCCACTAAGGAATATACTAAGAAACTGCACCATCTGCTCAGGACACTCCCTAAACAAACACAGGAACAAATCGACACACCTTTAGAGCCCCGACCAGGGTTGTTCTATCTATTACCCAAGATCCACAAACCTGGAAATCCCGGACGCCCCATCATCTCGGGCATTGGCACTCTTACTGAAGGACTGTCTGGCTATGTGGACTCTCTGCTCAGACCCTACGCCACCAGCACTCCCAGTTACCTTCGTGACACTACTGATTTCCTGAGAAAACTACAATGCATAGGTGATCTTCCAGAAAACACCAGCCTAGCCACCATGGATGTAGAGGCTCTCTACACAAACATCCCACATGCAGATGGAGTACAAGCTGTCAGGAACAGTATTCCTGATGATGCCACAGCACAACTGGTGGCTGAACTCTGTGAATTTATCCTCACACACAACTATTTCAGATTTGGTGACAACATATACCTCCAGACCAGTGGCACTGCTATGGGCACCCGCATGGCCCCACAATACGCCAACATTTTTATGGCTGACCTGGAACAACGCTTCCTCAGCTCTCGTCCACTTACACCCCTTCTCTACCTACGCTACATCGATGACATCTTCATCATCTGGACCCATGGGAAGGAGACTCTGGAAGAATTTCACCATGATTTCAACAGCTTCCACCCCACCATCAACCTCAGCATGGACCAATCTACACGGGAGGTCCATTTCCTGGACACCACGATACAAATAAGTGACGGTCATATCAATACCACCCTATACAGAAAACCTACCGACCGCTATACTTACCTGCATGCCTCCAGTTTCCATCCCGGACACACCACACGATCCATTGTTTACAGCCAAGCACTGAGGTACAACCGCATATGCTCCAACCCCTCAGACAGAGACCTACACCTACAAGACCTTCAACAAGCATTCTGTAAACTGCGATACCCACACGAGGAAGTGAGGAGACAGATTGACAGAGCCAGACGTGTACCCAGAAGCCTCCTGCTACGGGACAAGCCCAAGAAAGAAACCAACAGAACACCACTGGCCATCACCTACAGTCCCCAGCTAAAACCTCTCCAACGCATCATTAGTGATCTTCAACCCATCCTGGACAATGATCCCTCGCTTTCACAGGCCTGGGGAGGTAGGCCGGTCCTTGCCCACAGACAACCCGCCAACCTGAAGCATATTCTCACCAGCAACTACACACCGCACCATAATAACTCGAACTCAGGAACCAATCCTTGCAACAAACCTCGGTGCCAACTCTGCCCACATATATACACCAGCAACACCATCACAGGACCTAACCAGACCAGCCATACTGTCACTGGTACATTCTCCTGCACATCCACCAACGTAATATATGCCATCATGTGCCAACAATGCCCCACTGCTATATACATCGGCCAAACAGGACAGTCCCTACGTAAAAGAATCAATGGACACAAATCTGATATTAGGAATGGCAACATACAAAAACCTGTAGGGGAACACTTCAATCTTCCTGGACACACAATTGCAGATCTAAAAGTAGCCATCCTGCAGCAAAAAAACTTCAGGACCAGACTTCAAAGAGAAACTGCTGAGCTACAGTTCATCTTTAAGTTTGACACAATCAACTCTGGATTAAACAAAGACTGTGAATGGCTTGCTAACTACAAAAGCAGCTTCTATTCTCTTGGAATTCACACCTCCAGATCAGCTGCTAGAAGTGGGCCTCATCCTCCTTGATTGGATCCACCTGGTCATCTCCAGCCTGATCCTGGCCTGCATATTTATTCCTGCCTCTGGAAATTTCCACTACATGCATCTGACGAAGTGGGTCTTTGCCCACGAAAGCTTATGCTCCTACACTTCAGTTAGTCTATAAGGTGCCACAGGACTCCTCGTCGCTTTTGCAGATTCAGACTAACACGGCTACCCCTCTGATACATAACATCAGCAGTTACTTTACTTGGCTGTAACATGGAAATTCTTTGCCTATTGGAAAGGGTCCCATAGAGGATATGCTGGATGGTAGTTTTTTGCCCATGCTGCCTGAATTCAAATGGAATAATGCATGGAATAATATGATACCTGATTTAGGAACTGATTTATCCTTTTTTGTTCATTGATTAAGGAATGTTGAGTGGATTTAGGGGTGGGGCACTATTTTTTAACTAAATTACACTAGAAGTGTAACCACTTTTTCTTCATAGTTTAACTTTCAAAAACTGGTTTTAGATTATCTAGATAGTGTGTGCTTTATAGTAAGTTTTAGATCTCTAAATACAGTTTCTCTTCGTTTTGCCTCACTTTTTCCACGTGAAAATATTGGGATACAATTTCAGTTCTTCAACAAATTTGAAGCAGAATTCCTATGGTCATCTTATTATGCTGGGAAGTCATCAGATCTCACAGTATAAATAGTGGTGGCTGTTGTCAGTATTTGGAGGGAAGAGCTCTAATGAATACCTATGGATGGTACTGTAGAAAGTGTTGCTAGTGATTCAGTAGATCCCTCTAAGGCCTGGTCTGCACTTAAACGTTAGGATAACATACCTACAGTGCTCTCAAGGGAGTGAAAAATCCACACCCCTAAGCACTGTAGCTATGCCAACCCAACTCCTGGTGTAGATGGAGCTAGGCTGATGGAAGAATTCTTCTGTTGATTTAGCTGCTGCTGTTTGTAGAGATAAAGTTCCTAAAACAATGAAAAATCCTCTTCCATGGCTGAGGAGAATTTCTACACTAGATGGTGCTACAGAAACATAGTTATGGCACTGTAGCTCTGCCACTGTAGTGTCTGTAGTATAGATGTGGTGTCAGTCAGAACTGAAGGAATGTTACAGCATGGATGAGAGGCACGAAGTTGTGTGAACCAGAGCAATTTGCATGAGGTGTCAAATGGATGTCCAGTCCACATAAGATCACTAGTGGTACTTGACATGAAAGTGTGAATCCTAGCGGCCAAGATGCCATTTCAGGTATTTAAGCCAATTTTTTTACTACAATTTCAAATGGATATTGTATTCCTCACTTCCTGTCCCAGAGCCCAATCCTGCAAGATGCTTACCACTATGTCAGAAGGTATTAAGCAGCTTGCAGGAGTAGGCATCTAAACTATGTAATGTTGTTATGCACTGTGAAATAGCAGCTATGTCCTACTCCAGAGGTGGCTGCATTTCAGTACTGAGTTAAATCATTCATATGTGTGTAAACTTTTATAAAAAGCTTGTATAAAAAAAAATCACCTGGTATTTTTGTATTTTATTGCTAACTGTGATTGCACATCTAATTTATATTGAAAATATACTCAGAATATGTCTGAGCTTTTAACAATCTGAGAGAGAAATTAATGAAATGGAGGAAACTGAGAACAAAATTTATTTATAAGAAAATGTTGGCTTAATTTGTGTCTACAATAGTTATTTTGGGTGCTTTATAAAACACAGACAAGTTATGCTGGCCCCAAGATCCACTTCTTTCATGAATGATTAAGTAATATTGAATGATTATTCTTGTGGCATTATAAACAGGGACTATTACTTACCTGCCAGTTGATTGCATCTTCTGTAGAGAGCCATGATTTTGAACTTCAAATTACATTCCCTCTACCCCTGCTATAAAGATCCAAGATAACAAAATGCATCTTTAATTATTAAAATAATGTTATTCATTAAATCACCATTTTAATGTAACACTGAATTATCAACTGGCTCTTTTGCTTTTGAATCTTCTCTACATACTTTATTTTTGCCTGGCTTTTTACTCAAAAATGATGAGTCAGTACTACAGATTGAACCTCTCTAGACTGGCATAGTCTGGTCCAGCAACATCCATGGTCTGGCATGCTTTTAGTTAGCCTGATATCCACTTGTCATGGTTGTGGCCAAGTTTCCCATGGTCCCAGAAAGGTTGTTTACAGCCCCCAATCCTGGCTCTCAGTGTTTTGTGCTGTTTAGTCTAATTTACTCCTAGATAACTTCTAAGAGCCTAGTAAGCCGTGAAAGTGTTGGTAATGCTGCTAGAGAATATTGACTTCCTGGGGTTTGGCAAATGCTCTGGTTCAGCACCGATCAGGTCCGAAAGGTACTGGACTAGAGAGGTTCAACCTGTAGTCATGCCCAGAGTATGGAACAGACTAAATACTTCTGCCTGTGTTCTGATTTCAATGACACCAATGTTAATCCAGACTAACTCTATTTGACTTCAGTGGAGTTACCTGGGACTTACATAGGGATGTAAGAGAGATCAGATTGCTGGCCACTGAATTTCCTATTTTAATTCTTATTTGAGGCGATCTTTTAAAAAAAAAATCTGTATAATGGGCAAAAAGCTGTCCCCTGCAGTGCTTGGGGCTCACTAGTTTATATTCTGCTCTTAAATTTCCATAGGTAAGTGAGCAAACTGACTTCCACTGAAGCAGAGGGCACTCGGCTCTCCTGGATTAGATCTCATATGTTTTAGAACTCTGCATAATAATTGAAGAGGACAATTTTGTCCATTGACTGAACATCATTTGAATGACTGCTGCTTCTATGCCAGAATCGAGAATGCAGAATATAACTTATTTAATACACAGTAAAACAAATGAGAGTCCTGTAGATATTGCAGAGGGAAAAAATTAGCACAACAAATTACTCTTCCTGCTTTTCCTAAACATCTAAGTAGCATTTCTGAAGCTAAAGCAAGTACTTGAATTTATCTTTCTGTACTCATTTACACTGTTTTGCTGACAATGGGTGCTTTAATGATTCACTTGAAAGACATTTGTTTTGTTCTTTTTAGGATACAACTGACTATGTTGCATATGTAGCTAAAGATCCTGTTAATCAGCGAGGTATGGAATTTTCAGATTAAAATGTGTATTTTGTACTATATCTAGTGCGAAATTGTGAGCTTTAGTGTGCCCTGTGATATGGAACAGCTTAATTTTCTGTTGGTTTCAGTACTCTATAATTCCACTATGTAGTCAATGGGGTGATAGTGGTGTCTAGACTGCAGCTCTAAACTGTTGTTATTCATGCGACAAAATGAGAATTGTCACATGTGACTTAAACCCTGTTAGCTACCAAACGCCATGAATGAGAAGACACTTGTATCCTGCCAACTCCCAGTGCCCGATGCAGGACTGCTGACTCTGGTAGAATTTCGGAAACAACCTCTGTGCTGGCTGAGACTGAGGAAGGGAACTTAAATGCTGGCACCATTACAGATTGAGCTGCTCCATATGAAGTTTCAAGGAGAGGAAAAAGTTGTGATAATCGTGCGTCATAGTTTATGATGTTCCCCAAATCCCTTCATGGAATTATAGCCCATACAATTCAGATGCATTCATTTATTTTCACCTAGTCTGTTTAAATACCAGTCTTCTGCCTCATTCATGGAAATCATCCTTGCATCTTTTGCATTACTTAGTTGAGAAGAGTTATACAGTAAACTGCAGGTCACATCAGTAAAATTTTGGAGCCAGCCAGCAACTTGAACTGACCATTCCTAGCAACAGAATATGTGATTCAGAAAAACAGCCCCCTGATCATAATAGCATTGCAATTAGCAAAACCCTGACTAGCACAACTATGTAGGATCATCTCACAGGCAGTGCAAAAGCAGACAGTGACACTAGATAAGAGGGACTGGGATGGTCTGAGTAATTCTGTTTCCTTCTGCAGTGTACTGACTAGCATCTAATTTGTACATCCGCCTGCTAGCAGATTGACTGGTGAGACTTGCTCAGGTGTATGTAGGAGCATGTGTCACTTTGGTGGCTGTCCTACAGAAGATAAAAACCCTGACACCATTCTAGCTAATTTCCCTTTAGTTCAGGTAGCGAGAAGTCTGTTTTTTAGAGCTGGAAGTTCTGAGTATCATCAACACTTGTGACTATTAAGTCTATGTGATCAGAGTATGTAGAGCAGCTGACTACTCAAATGTCTACTCATGCTAAAGAATCTTTTCCAGAACAGGTTGGGCTCATATTGATGACTCCCATTTTGTTGCTATGTCATCCTTATTCTGATACATGAGAAAATGACAATGTTAATTACAGAACTTCAACAATCTATTCATTTGTAGTTTTAGTCACATTTAATATTGAGCATTCAGTTAGGGATACAGTAACCTATTAAAAACCACTGTAAAATCAGTTATATGGTGCTTGTGATTTTACTGTGCTAATGAATTATTACCATTTGGGAAGCAGACTTTAGATGGAGGCTTGAATTTTATGCCTCAGGTTGGCAGCAGCTACGGCAGTCATGTATGGTCTGCTGTTCTGTGTGTAGGATGTGGTCTCACAGTGCCATCTAATGATTGATCTGTAAAAGAGTTGCTGCTTTTGAGATCTACAGCCAGATTTTCAGGAGTTGAGGCAAGATTTTAAAAGCATCAAAGCTAAAATTGGGGCCAGATTTTAAAAAAGTTGTTCCTTTTAAGCATGAAATAAGGGGCAAATTTTCAGAAGACCCTGTGCCCGGTATACCCCTAACATGCTAAAGTCTTCAGCAAATCTGGCCATTTATTTTGGAAGTTTGGTTTTAAAAGGAACCTGAATGATATTGGAAAATCTGGCTCTTGATGATGCACAGCAATCACCATAAGAGGAAAACAGCCGAGGGATGATGTTTAAAAAAAAAGGGGGGCAGAAAACAAACACAGGTTTAGAGTCTTATGTAGAGTTGTAGATTTATATTAAAATTAAAACACCACCAAGCAATGTTCCCTCTAATTTTTCTATGAGTGGAATAAATTTTGCCATGTGCACTGAGGCATGTGTGGATGCGCAGCACCAGTAGAAGCATATACTGCCGGCTGTAGGCACAAGGCCACACCTGAATTTCTCCAGGATGGATGCCCAAGTGTGCAGCTTACAGGGAACACTGCCTCCAAGGTAGTTTTCTTAACACATCAAAAATTAAATCACCATGGTCTCTTCAAATTACTTAGATATTCTATACTTTGTCTCTGGATTTATTGATATAAAAACATTCTCTGAATTTTTTCTTATAAATGAAGGGAAGGTGTTTTATAGAAGTGTCTTTTTGTTCTGTGTTCATATAGCACCAATCACATGGGGCTCTGGTCCATGATACGGGCTCCTCAGCATTATGATACTACAAATAATAAAGAATAATATTTTAAAAACATTTTTGCATCACCTTGTAGCATGCCATATATTGGAATGCCCCAATGGAATGGCTCAGAGTGTAATCAATACCATAGGGCAGGCTTTTGAGCTTCGATTCAAGCAATACTTGAAGAATCCTTCTACTTTGATTACTTCCAATGAAAGGTCAGTCTGTGTTTTCTAGTAATCTAAATATTGCTTTCCTATTGCTTGTAATTTTAAGGATGAATATTATGCCATAGGGCCTGACTCTCTGAACAAGATGCATGGTGCATGACAACACTCCATACACACAATATGCAGCATGCCAAGTTCTGACTCTAGTGCATTCCTATTTGTACAGGTGTAACTGAGAACTGAAGTCCACCTTATTCTCCTTTCTTCAAATAGACTTATTTTAAAATATGCAAGTGAGCTGACTGAGCATTACCAAATAAAGGCAGAGTAAAATAAATGAGCAAGTTCTATTCTCTAAATATCGTGCTTGCCCAGCTCCACTCTCAACTGTGTCAATTTTATGTTCAGTGCAGCTCTGGTAGGGGAAAAGGTAACTCTTAGTCACTTTTCTGCTCTCCTGATCCTGGCATGGTTGGGAGCTGAAATTCTACCTGGCATAACTTAGAGCTGTCTCACATACTGAAATAAACACAAGGGCAACTTGGGAATTTGAATTGTGTAAACGGTGTACCTGGGGTGCTGCTCTTGGCTACATTATCAACAATAGATTGTTACTGGGAGTACATGCCTGCATATGAGAGTAAAGACAAGTAAGAATGCCTCTCTAAGGGTTGTGCAAACTTTGGGTGTGGACACATAGGTGTAAGCACAAGCTCATTCCATACAGTAGTTGGGGAATTGGCAGAGACTTAGGTTCATCCTTCCATATGCCCTGGCCAAAACAGCAGAGAAATCATGTAAAATCTCAGCCTTTTTTTTTTGACATCTTGCAGATGGCCACTCATTCACAGAAACCTAACCTGGCCAGAACTGATCTTTCCCCAAGTGCTCTCCCCTTGCCATATTACGCTAAGCAACAAAACCATCCTCCTTGTAGCTCAAGCCTGTCATCTTGGCTTTATCTTTGGCTCAGTCTTCTGCTTTAACCCACAGTTACAGGACACGTCTAAATCTTGCTGCTTCTTTCTGCGCATCTCAAAAATCCAATCTTTTCTTTCTGCCCATGCTGCCAAGACTCTGGCCCATAATCATCTCCTGTTTTCACTACTCTAATATCCTTCTGTCTGACTTTGGTACCTGCAGCCTTGTCCCCCTAAAGTCTATTAAAACATGGCTGTGAAGATGATTGCCTTGGCATATTGCTCTGTCTTTGTTTCCCTTCCCCCATTCTTAAGTTTCTCAACTGAATCCTTCCTTTCCATTGCATCAGACATGGATGTCTTGTTCTTACTCTCAAAGCCCTCTGCTGTTAGCCCTCTGCCACCCTCTCCAACCCATGATCTTTATTGTAGGGTTAACTCTCACTTTTTCTCTGCTCAGGATTGCAGACTCAGTCACTTGCATCTCTAACAAGCACTGACATGCTTTCTCCCATGCTGCCTGTGGAACTCCTTGCCAGAGGAGGCTGTGAAGGCTAGGACTATAATAGAGTTTAAAGAGAAGCTAGATAATTTCATGGAGGTTAGGTCCATAAAAGGCTATTAGCCAGGGGATAAAATGGTGTCCTTGGCCTCTGTTTGTCATAGGCTGGAGAGGGATGGCAGGAGACAAATTGCTTGATCATTGTCTTCGGTCCACTCTCCCTGGTGCTGGCCACTGTCGGCAGATAGGATACTGGGCTAGATGGACCTTTGGTCTGACCCCGTACGGCTGTTCTTATGTTCTGTCATGAGTGGGAAAGTGTGAATCCACAAAGCCATCAATTTATCTTCTTTCAGCTCCTTATTCAAAACTCACCTCTGCTTCAACATGTAAAGGAAACTGCCAGCTGGTAGCCACTGGGCAGATGGCAAATTGTGGTTGCTGCTACTGGATGGCTGTGAATTACACACATGCTGCTGTTTTTGTTACACTGCCCTCTTGGGACTGCCTTTTATTATGTTTTGTACAGTATCTTGCACAATGGGACCCAGACAGATTGTGGCAGTTAGGTACTATCTCAATAGAAATGTTAAATAACGTTACCGCTTTGTAATCTAGGCTGTTGGAGAAAATTTGAGGTCTGGTGAGCTGTTTCAGTTAGGAAGACAAGCTGGCGAGAAAACCAGGCATTTCTCTGATGCAGTCCTATTTATTTTCAAAGAATGAACAAAGTTTTGTTTCCTTGTGTAACAGTGCCTCTGGGTCACAACTGAGAATACCAAATTCAGGACAAACTGATGAGAAATAGGACAGATACATCCCAAAATTAGTGGCTATTCCCCCTTAAGATATACTGAACCACCAACAAAAGTAAACTTTTGTTTCCTTACACTAGCTAACAAGAAGCCAGAAAAACTGTTTCCTTAGGGATTCTGGTTCTTGTATCATCACCAAAATACTAGACTTATAGTGAATGGTCCCTTAAAAGCAGTTTAATCAAACAAAGAGTTCTTCTGATCCCAAAGGACCAACCACACATTCAGATCAATACAGGAGACTCTCTTGATTCACAGAATCGCTATTTGCAGTTCTGCGTATTCACAGGGGTCTTCTGTCCTGGCCTTGGGGTGGGGGGGTGCCATGGGGAACTCAGCACAATTCCCAGTCCTCGTGGTGAATTCCCCATGGCTGCCCAGAGCTCCAGTGAGTTCCCTGCACCTTCCAGACCCTGCTGTTAATTTGGGAGCCATGGGGAGCACACCATGGGGGCTGGGAGCCACAGCTCCCAGTATTCACGAATTTCACCATTCACAGTGGTGCCAGGCATGCATCGCTCATGAATGGCAAGGGTTTCCTGAATATAATTCAGATCTCATGCTGGTGCCTTTCCTTTAGGCTGTGTCTAGACTACATCCCTTTTCTCGAAAAAGGGATGTAAATTAGACACCCCTCATTTTTTTGAGGAGTACAGGAGCTTTCTCAAAAGGGTTTTATTTTTGAAAGACCCCAGACTAAACTGCCGTTTTTTTATCGAAAAGCCCCATTTTGAAAAAACACGTGGCCGCCATTATGCAAATGATGTGGGAAATTTAAATCCTGGCTTCATTTGCAATTTTGAAGTGTCTAATTTACATCCCTTTTTCGAGAAAAGGGATGTACTCTAGACATAGCCTTAATGTCTAAACTCTAAAGGTTTGTTTGTAAAGAAATAAAAAAGAAAGGTGAGAGTTTAAAATTGGTTAAGAGTCAAATATATATTTGACGATATTTGCCATTTTCCAATAGTGTGGAACCTCCCCCAGTTGTGATGAGTTTTCAAAGATATGTCCACTGGTTCTGCAATCACAACAACCAACTCTCTCAGAACCGTTGGATGCATTAGATCTGGCATGTCCAGCTTTTCTAAATAGTCCTTAACCTGTTCTTTTACCACTGGGGGCTGCTCACCTTTTCCCCATACTGTGCTGTCTTTTGCAGCAATCTGAACCTTGTCTGTGAAGACAGAAGCAAAAAAGCATTGTGTACTTCAGTTTTTTCCACATAATCTCTTATAAGGTTGCCTTCCCCATTTAGTAAGAGTCCCACACTTTCCCTGACCACCTTCTTGTTGCTAATATATCTGTAGAAACTCTTATGGCTATTCTTCACATCCCTTGTTAGCTGCAACTCCAATGGTGCTTTGGCCTGCCTGATTATACTCCTGCATGCTTGAGCTATATTTTTATACTCCTGCCTAGTCATCAGTTTCCTCTTTTTTAACCTGCTATTTGGGTTCAAGTTCACTGAATATTTCTCTGTTAAGCCAAGCTGGTGCCTGCCTTATTTTCTATTCTTTCTGCACATAGGAGTTCTTTATTCCAGTACCCTCAATAAGGCTTCTTTAAAATACAGCCAGCTCCTTTGGATTCCTTTCCCCCTCATATTAACCTACTACAGGATCCTGGCCATCAGTCTGCTTTTTTGACATCAAGGGTTACACATGATTCTGCTTAGTCATAGTAGGTAGCATTACTTATAGCCCAAACACCATGTTCACAGGAAAGTCCATTCAGAGTAGGAAGTGTCTTCCATTGGGAGTTGCATATTCTTTTGATGGGCCACTCAGCTCGAACAGTCCCTTCAAGATGTGCAGGCTATATACCTTTTTGGAGCTACCAGATACAAACACCTTATAAATACAGCCATATAGTTAATGCTCCTAACTTCATCTACAAAAATTATACATGCACACAAATAGCATAATTACATTCAGTGCATTGTAACTTTTCCATGGACATCTTACATGCCATATTTTGTACAAGATTTGTTTCAATAATATAACAGTGGTAGCAACAATGATCTTTATGGATGTAGTTTAATAATTTAATGTCACATGTTGAACACAGGAGGACTCAAACCCTAAGCGCACTCTCAAAAACCTCTGCTGCCTTCTTAGCTTTTCTGCTCCTTCTCTGTGTCTATTTCTGTTGTGTTTTCCATTGCTTATGTCCCATATACTCAAACGTAGCACCTTGGTACAATCAATCCCCCAGTCAAGTTTATCAAATCACAGCAGAACTCCTCTTGGGCACAAGACTAGCTCCTACTCCAGCCTTGAATGTGGCTTTGGTCTGGATAGAGGTCCCTATAGTTTCAGCTATCTATTCCATACAGGTGTTTCGTGGCTTTTTACAATTATCCTGAAGAAAGGCAGCGTGTTTACCCACAGCTTCAGGGAGGTTTAACCCAACCCATAACAATAACAACAGTAGCACCTTATCTATATTTTACTTTAGTTATTCAGAGTATTTTTCTCCCTCCACATTGATATACTAACCTGTTACCTTAGGGGGCAAAGATGATCTTTCCTGTGAAATCACACTAGGTTACATCATATGTAAAACACAGAAATTATAAATTGAAATAGCTGATTAGGTTATTTAGTCCAGTCCTCCGTCAGTCCATCAGAACAGTTCCCAGACATCAGACTTCCCTCCAATAGTGCTGTGTGAATGAGTCACTGACTTCCAAACTACAGTGAATCACATAAGCAAATACTTCAGCTTCTAGGTCAGGACAGCGATACAGTAAATTCAGGATTCAATGTTGTGGTGTCCTGACAGGTCTTCTGCTCTGTCAGTGATGATAAATGTCCATCTGCATGCATTTTTGTATGCTCCCGCAGTACATCATGCCAGCTCTGCACAGGTAACTAGCATAATAGACTTCATGAGAGCCCCCAAACACCACAGATTCAGATAAGATAGAAAGCACACAAGTCAGGTTTATTATCAAATTACATATATTAATAGTTGTCAGTAACCAAGTGGCCTCTGAACCCCTATGCGTTTGTACCCGTGACAATGGACACAGCTCAGTCAATAGTATTGATTTCACAATTGTCCCCTAGGTTGGCCAAAGAGTTAAGTCAAGGTACCCCACATTTATAGACAGAGATAATCTATGATACACATCTTACGTATCATCTTATGCAGTAATGACATGCTTGGTACCTCCCCTTGTATTTTCCTCCAAAGCATTCACTACTCACTGTTACGCTTTCACTCTGGTTGTTTCACACTGTTTTATCATGTACTCAACAGGGTGTCCTTGTACTATCCTGGTGGAATGTATTTACATATGTCATATGCTTTTAGCAGGACTAGCAGTTCTAGTACTGAGACACACTGACTTGCAGGTGAACATCTGCTTTTGACAGGACCTGTCTCTTACTCATAGTATAACTTTTGCTTACTTTGGTTCAAGCACCAGGCCCTTGCTTCAGGCTCTTTCCTTCTCCTAAACATCTGTGTATCACATAATCAGGTACTCCAGATTTCTCTCCTTCCTTCCTGCTTCTGGCCTTTTATCCAATTGTCGTTTTGTTAAACAGAGAAGTAAGATTCCAAATGTGATGATGTTTTTGGAGGTGAGAAATAGTGCAGGAAACACCTAGAGCAGCGGTTCTCAAACTTTTTGGGCTCTGGAGCCATTTACATGCGTAAAAATGTATGCGGAGCCCCAGCATTCCACTGATTATATGTGTTGTACCTATCGATGTTTCCAGTTTGTCAACCTCACGGAGCCCCTGGAGATGTCTCGCGGAGCCCTGGGGCTCTGCAGAGCCCAGTTTGAGAAACACTGACCTAAAGCTTTCGCAGTGTATCAGCTGAACATTGAAGCCACTACTTGGTTCAAGGCATGCAGGAAAGCATGCCACAGTTAGGGCTTATCTACACAATGAGGTAAAGCACTTCATTAGGGTGTGAATTCTAACTGGACCATATAGACTCTGCTGGCACGCATTCAAATTTCACTAGTGCGCGTTAATAGTCTAATTTTAAACAATGTTAATGTTAATACACACTAGGGAACTTTGAATGTACATCAGCAAGGCCTGTACAAATTAGTATGCATGCACACTAGAATTCACATCCCACTAAAATGCACTCTTCCGTTCATGTAGACAAGCCTTTAGAGTTTGATTCAAGCTGAAAGAGTCTTGTTCTGCTGATTTTGCTTTTTTAAAAAATTAGACTAGATTCCACTCTTGACTACTGGTTTGTTGTAGCCTTATTTGATTTCCTGAAACAATTCTAGTCCTATCTAATGGCTGTCCAAATGTCACATGAGGTTTTAATTTTCCTTTATGAGTCCCACACACTTGCTTAATGAAGACAAAATAAGAAGCAAAAGGAACCGGAGTCACGGTCTATAATGTGAATAGATTAACTAACAGTGTCTCCTCTGAGGGTAAAGTGTTGACAAAAGTGGCTCTTGTATCATTTTCATAGCTTAGAGAATGCAGATTATCACAAGGTTAATGAAGTATCTATGCCATCCTGCCAAATGATTATAACATATCACAATTGCTGAAAAAATAAAGTAGTAGCTGAGTGAAAGGATTTAATCAGACAGCTTTTAAGATAGGGACAATAGCATTTGAATAGCTAGTTTGTCCATTTTGTTGCAAACCGACTCATGACATGTCTTTACCTTGAGAATCATTTGATCACATTTGATCATTTCATGTGGTGGTTCATTTTTCAGTGAAGTAATGAATCTTGATGGATCAGCTTGGAATATACAGGAGAGGGAGGATCATGACTATTACAATGAAATTCCAGGAAAAGAGCCTCCTACAGGTGGACTATTAGATATGCGAATGAAAGTGCAAATGGACCAAAGGGCAAACTGTCCCATACAATGTGAAAAGCAATACGGTTTGGTAAGCCTGTCTATTTCATACTATTCCCTGCCATTCTGGGGAAGGGATAACAACTTACTGTGGTAGAGATCATATGAACACAACTACCACTAAATCCTGCTTGGCTGGGGAAGAGAGTTTTAGGCGTCTTTTAATAACACTTAGAACACAGTGGAGTCTCATTTTATCATCATTAACTGATTTGTCCTTACAGTGCTTCTGAGAGAGCAGCTTTCATCTTTGTTGAGAGGGGAAGACATAGGTTTAAATGTCTTGGCAAATACCTAGGGCAGGGATGAGCAATAATTTTTGCAGAGGGGGCATTTAATGAATTTTGGTATTGGTCATGGGCTGGCTTCATCCCCAGAAGGGGCAGATCCTGGGGAGGAAGAGGCTTGGGGACTAGCCTACCTCCTCGTCCCCCCCGAGTAAAAATACAGCAAAGGGTTTGCTGCTCCTGGTCCCACCACTACTGCATTGCCTGGCTGACACCAGGGAGCTGCTGCTGTCACTGAGGGAGAAGTGCCCTCCTCCCCCCCTCCACCAGGCAGCTCCGTGCATGGAGCCCTGAGCCCTGGCTGGGTGGGAATCATCAAGCAGCTTTGAGGCTGTGCTGCTACGCAACTTAGAGGGAACATGGGGCAACAGTCCCAATGTTTGGGGCTTTTTCTTATATAGTATCTAATACCCCCACCTTAGCCAGCTCCCTACTACCATGGTCAGACTACAATGTCATTCTGCACTACCTTCTGCATGTACGTGATGCAGTTTTCAATAATTCTAGTATGTTTCAAGATTCAGCATGCTTTCAAATTATCCAAAGGTGTCTGGGACTTTAGTGGATTGAGAAACCTGAACCTAGGCATAGTCAGGACTCAGAAAATCAGAGAGTGAAACCAGAAGATTTCAGAGCTTACTGGGGTCATTCCCCTGATTGTAGATGGTACTGATTAGCATTTCCAAGTGCAGGGAGGTGGGTACCACCTGCTGGCTCTTCCTGCAGAATTCTGAGTCTGTGTTCCAAAACCTAGGACTGGGGCTAGGAAACAATTTCTCAGTTATGTTTGTGTCTTTGCAGCAGAGGCTTATTGAGGAGGAACAGTACAATCCCAGGAGATCTAACTGAACTCTAGTTCACTGCTGTGTGAAACTTTATCCTCCCTACCCCCACGCCAGCTTGTTGTTGTTTTCTCAGTACTTCCCTTCAATCTTGAAAATTCTTTAATGCCAGTCAGACATTACACTGTGACCATTCTGCTCCCATACTATGTTATCTGTATTCCATCTCCCTGTTTTTACTGCAAGAAATGTTTGCATGAAAACAGAATCTGCCTTGCTTAGGAGTTAATCTAATCCTGCTGCATATTCCTCAGATGAAATCATTTGATTCCTTTTTGTGACATCATAGTCATCTCCCTAGCAACTAATTGTGATGTTGCAAACAGTGGATTGTGACTTCAGGTGAGGAATTGGTCCCAGAAGCAGAGCTGCTGCTTGGCAACCAAGATTCTGCCTTCATGAAAACATACTTAGGAAAAAAAATCATAGCAAGGTGTTATTCATAACAAGAGAAAGAGATAGGGTTTCCAGTGTATGGAACATTAGTGCTTCACTATAGTTAGGACCAATGGGAACCAGTGCCATGGAGAGCCACCTGTGCCCCTGCCCCTCCCTCCTGTGCTCACGCCCCTGCCCCTTCCTGCGGCTGGGCAGGAACTGGGCGGTGAGCGCTCCCCCGCCCGGAGGACCATTAGTTAGGACCATTTCTGTAACATGCTACAAACATGGTATAAAATGCAAACATAAAATCAAGCTTTTCTCTTTTGCCCTGTGAGAAATGGGCTGTGTACCCTTATTTTCTAAGCCTTCCATTGATAACTGTGGATCTTAGGCTGTGTCCAGACTCAGGGGGTTTTTCGGGAAAAGTAGCCTTTTTCCGAAAAAACTTCACCTGTGTCTAGACTGCAGCCGCGTTCTTTCGAAATTAAATCGAAAGAACGCGGCTTTTCTTTCGACAGCGGAAAATCTCATTGCACGAGGAAGAACGCCTTCTTTCGAAAGTGCTCTTTCGAAAGAAGGCGTTCTTGAATGTAAATAGGGCTTCTTCGAAAGAGAGCATCCAGACTCACTAGGTGCTTTCTTTCAAAAAAGCGGCTTGCTTTTTCGAAAGTTCCGCATGCAGCCTAGACACTCTCTTTCGAAAGAGGCTTGCAGTCTAGACATAGCCTGAGATATTTCATAGGGATTAGGGCATGCATCACTGGAATAGCCAATGGGAAGTAAAGCATCAATACTGACTATTGTTTGAGTGGGTGGGAAAATTTGTTATCCAGGGATCACTGAACTGAATGGTATATATTGAAAGAATATCTGAAGTTTATTAACCATTGATATCTGATGTGAGTAAATGTTATGATTCTTACAGGCTGGCAGTCCCAAATGCATCAACATATATGAAAACTGTCCAGAAGAAAACAAATCAGTGGGTATGTACTATGTCTTCCACACCCTGCATAGCCAAATTTCAACTGAGCCAGATTATCTGGAAGTCCCGAGATTTTTGATATAATAAAGAAAAGTGTTCTGCATATTAGATCACGACTAGCTCCCTGGCTGGGGGCAGACAGAAGAGCTTTACAGCTTTTCAAAAGGGGTGTTAATTCATTTTTGTGCCTACTGGTAGACTTCCTAGTTTTACTTGTCCTGACATCAAACAGAAGTCCTTTGTTACTGTAGCTCCTTTCCTTGCCGGCAAGGAAGGAACATGCTCCCCTACTTAACTAGTTCTGACCCTATTCATACAGAATATACACCTACATTAATGGGGTCAGAACTGTCAGCGTCCCTGTGACATTCCCAGAGGAGCATGTTTATGGTCTTCATTCCAGTGTTAAAGGTTCCTAGTCTCAAATGTAACCTTAACTCTGTTTCTTCACTTGAGCTTTCCCTATTTTCCTTTGTGTGTCTGGTTATGTGCTCTAATTCATCTTCATGGTGGGAAAATTTGTTCTCTTATATCCTGCTATATCAGTAGGTTCCCTTCCTTTTTTGGATTTCATGTGGCACTATTGATGCCACTGGATACATTTCTTTGGCTCCATTCTTTTCCTCATATGAGGAGGTCCTTTCAAAAATCCCATCTGTATTGCACTGCCCACATGATGGGGTTAGATTTCTTTTTCTTTTTTTCTTTTTTTGGGGCAGTATTTCTGTATTTGCCATGCTTAAAAGCGAAGCAACTAATTTCCACTTATGAAGGATGATAAATAATAAATATGATAAATAGCACAAACATGGTCGTTTGGCTAGTTCTGTAGTTCTCAAACTGTGGGTCATGACCTCATTTTAATGGGGTTGCCAGGGCTGGCTTACACTTGTTGAGGCCTGGGGCCAAAGCCCAAAACCCACCACTTGGGACTGAAGCTAAAGCCTGAGCACTCCCCCCCCACACACACACCACCTCCTTACCCCCTTTGGTGGCAGGGCTTGGACTTTCAGACCCCACTCCTGGGGCCGTGTTGTAATTTTTATGGTCAGAAGAGGGTTGTAGTGCAATGAAGTTTCTTGAGACCTCCTGAGCTAGCATTCCCTTAATACCTGGCTGCTCTGTTAACCTCTTGAATCTGGGCTAGGGACATAAAATAATGGTCGATTAGTCAACAAGCCTAAGCTTATCAGGACTACTCACATTCCCTCTCCCCCCACTTGCTGTCTCTGCTATAGCAGCAGCAAGGGGAGAGGGAGCAGGAGCTAGTACTGGTTTTCCCCCAGCAGTGTCTCCATGGTGCCGCTTCCCCACTTCCACCTGCACTGCTGCCTCTCTCCTTCCACACTGCTGCTCTGGCAACAGCCCCTGTCTGCAGGGCTCCCAACTCCCCGCTGGGACCCCCCAGGAGCTGCTGGACCTGGCATGAGCCGGGACTAAGCAAGCCTGGCTCAGTCCCAGCTCGCACCCGGTGCAGGAACTACCCCTGCTGCTGCTCTGCAGTTTAAATGTAGTAGGACCTGGAGTATTGACTACACAATTACTCAGTTACCCACCTCCTAAAATCCTTAATTTGCACTCTAGGCTGAATGAAACTTCTCTGGCTCATCAGGCAACGCACAAAGCACGAATCAACTCTGCCATAAGCACTGACTTTCAAAAGTGTCATAGGGTGGTCAGTGCCTGGCTCTGCTCCAAACCCCACACTGCCCTTTCCCCAAGGCCCCGTCCCACCCCTTTGCGTGCTCCACCCGCTCCCTGCTTTTTTCTGCTCAGTTCCTTCCCATCCCCTGAGCATGTCACATTCCCCCTCCTCTCCATTAGTGTGTCCAACACTGAAAAACAGCTGATATCAGTGGGTGAGAGGCACAGGGAGGAGCTGGTCCATGGAAACTGCTGGTAGGTGGGAAGTGCTTGGGAAAGCTCATAGAGGGGCTGCTGGTGGGTGCTCAGCACCCACCAATTTCCCCCCGTAGGTAATCCAGCTCCAGAGCACCCACGGAGATGGCACCTAGAAGCTCTGCCATCTCAACCCTTTGGAGCAGGGAAAGCAAAAACATCTCTCCCCTTCCTAAAATGCTCCTAGGGGAGGAAAAGGATTTTGCAACAGAGAACTGAGGATGTGCAGTGTTTGTCCATAGAGACATCCATGAGCATGCAGGAGGTCCTTTCTAATCCATAAGTCCAGTTGTTCTATTGATAAATGTATCTTAAAACATTCTGGAACAGCCTCTCATTATCTTAAAACCAAGAGGCTGTTCCAGCTCCTCAAATGGTTAGAAACCTTATTCTGGTTTACAGCTTAAATGTATCCCCATTTGTTGTTGGGCTAACATTGTTCATTAGTTTGAATAGCTCTTCTGCCTCCCTCTTGTGCCCGGATGTATTTACGGAGAGCAATCAGATATCTTCTCAGCCTTTGTTTTTTGCTAGCCTACACCAGCAAAGCTCTTGATAGTCTCCTCTCATACAAATTGATCTTTCATCCTTCTCGGAGCAGAGATCTCATCAGACACAGTGGACATTTTTACAAATGAATCTGGGTAAAATAAGTGTGGAAAAATTTAACTTATTCAGAATTACCCAGGGCAGATAAAAATAATCAGCCACATACTTAATAGTGGGGCATTAGAAACCTTGAGATGAAAAACCAAAAGAGAAGGTAAGAAAACCAGCATGTATTTTTACCAAGATACCTGTTCTGGGATGTTAATTAACATTTAAAATGTTAACTGGTTAAACTCTAGGTTTAACCCTGGATTTTGCCCTCCCATCCATGACACGATGGACCACAGCTGGGGTGGACGTGCTCTTCTGGCCCTGGCCCTGCTGCACCCACAGGTGGTAGGGGCTGCTCCAGCCCTGCGTCGTGCTCCAGTTATGGCCCTTCGGTGCCCATGGGCAGCAGGGACCAGTCCCAGTTGCAGGTGGTAGAGGTTGCTCTGGGTCTGCTTTAGTCTTAACTGGTTAACCTCTTACATCCCTAATTTGTTCTTCATTAATACACAAAATATAACATTCCCACTCCTATAAAATTTCAGTGAACCCTACAGAGAGCTTCTACAGGGTGGAGTTTTTAAGATTACTCAGTTTTGGGCAAATTGATTTCACTGAAGTCAATGAGTGATCTACCACTTACTTCAGTAAGAGCCAAGTTAGGCCAAGAGCTTAAGCACCTTCGATGACCCCACTTAAACTCTTTTTGTTTGGTTGCATAAAAGGGGTAGGTTGCTGAACGTTATGCTTTTTAGAAATAAAAACACATGAGATAGTTTGGTATTTTTAATTTTGCCCATTAACAGCTTAATGGAAATGCCAAAGCTGCAACATTCAGCTGGAATTGCTGGTTGGTTTTAAAAAAATACAACATATATTGCCATTAATTACAGGTAACTGTGGTGAAAGATCACTGAAGGCAAAAAAAGATGTGTCCTTGCTGAAACCTGCTTGCAAAATGGATCTTTTTGATGACCCTTGTTACATCAACACTCAGACCCTGCAAACTACAGCTTATACAGCTAGAGGCCTTGCATCAGCCCAGGTCTATGGGAGCCCACTGTGTCATGAGAGTAGGTTTATATTTCAATGACCTCTTTTTCTAAGCCTTGAAATAAGGATCTTGTCATCTGAATGCATGGGGAAGGAATCTGTTTTCTCAATAATAATTGGAAGAGAAAAAATGCTTGTAACTGTACTAGACATCCCTTTTGGCTGTTATGTTCAGGATAAGCAGCATCAAAGACTAGAAATAGTGACAAGCAATGAGTGGATCCAACGTCTGTCTTCTGAAGTTGACCAATAGCAATAAAAAGCATAGGATTATATCTTTCACAGAAAATGACAGGCAGCCCCTGAAAACAGCTTTGAAAACACAGAGCAATATCATGTCCCCAAGATGTAGCATTGTCTTCTGTATGTGGATTTTACTTATTATGATCCCACAATGAGGTCAAATGCTTGTGCTGCAACTTCATAGATTTCAATATCATACAGCCCATTATGATTATCTAGTCTGATGTCCTGCATAAATCAGCTCATAGAATTTTACCCAATAATTGCTACATCAAGCCCATAACTTTGGTTTGAGCTATAGCAGATCTTTCAGAAAGGCATCCAATTTTGATTTAAAGATTTCAAGTGAGGGAGAATCTGTCACGTCCATAGGTGATTTGTTCTAATGGTGAATTACCCTGTCTGTTAAAAAAAAATTATTTCCTATTTTCTCCCTTTCTGAACCACTTATGCTATTGTCTTGGGATCCACACAGTCAGAAGGGGATGGAGATTAAGGAAGCCTGCATGTGGGAGACGCTCTGGCCAGGAAGACTTTCCCAGACAGGATCTATGGGTCCCCTCTGTGCTGGAGAACCCCTCTTTAAAGAAGCCATAGGAGGCTTTGCTAGAAAAACAGCATTTAAATAGTGGAACTAGTCAGTTTCCTATGAGAAATCTTGCCTGAGTCATTTGCCTTCTGCGTGGCTACATCCAAACCCATCTATATTTTTATTGTTTAGTAACATTTCAGTTTTGTTTAGCAGATGCACCATGCCATAAATGCTTCCTTTCTGTCTGTATCAGTTATATCTTATATTATTGTACACAGCTGCAATTATGCTACATATGACCCTCACAATTAGATGTGGCATTTTCTTCAGTGTCAATTAAAGAAGAATAAAAAATTTAGAAGTTTAAATAATGTATCCAAAATACAAAATTTGTTTTGTAGGGAATCTCTGATTTTTTTTAAACAAAATATTTATCAGATCACCATCAGATTGTGTTCTGTATGTCATTTTTCATGTGCTAATAATTGATAAAATTAACCATACAAACAAATCAAGCATTTTGTCTGTAGATTTGGTATAAAACAAAATGTTTTACAACTCACACATCTTTATAGAAGTATTTTTGCGTCACTCATAATTGTATGTAGCTTATTGAAATACATAAAGAACAGTTTACTAACACATACTACATTCAGATATTCAGTTGCAAGATGGATTCACCACTAAACTTCCAAACTTTGATTCTTTTCCAGAGAAATCCACCCCACTCAACCATTGCAACACAAACCAAAACACTACACCATCAGAAGGAACTTTTTAATGGATAATCCAGTTGCTGTTACCTAGCAATATGAGAACTAATGATTTAATGGACATCACACTTTTCAAAGTTTCTACATCTGTAAAATGGGGATGATAATTTTTACCTCACTTACTAGGGTGTTGTGAATATGATTGTGGGCATAAGGCTTTGAAAACATTAAATGGTATTACTATCTGGAAGACTGGTTTGATTAAAGCTTCAAATCTGAATAATTCTAAGTGTTATAGAATATAGTAATAATTTTAAACTTTAAGTGTTTCAGAAGCAAAACAAATGAAATATCTATTGTGTTTATGCTGGAGTTTTGGGTAATGGGTCCAACATCTTTTTTTTTTTCATTTAATTTTAGAATTGACAGAAGCTGTTCAGCAGCATGCCACAACCAACATGGATAGTGCATGTGTTCTGTCACAGATAAAGCAACAGTTGAGAAATGAAGATTGTTACCATGGCAAATTAAACAGGAAAGCAGCAGAGACCCTGTTGGTCAACGATGGGGATTTTTTGGTGCGAGAGAGTGCAACGTCACCTGGTCAATATGTACTGAGTGGATTGCAAGGAGGGCAAGCAAAGCACTTACTGTTGGTGGATCCTGAAGGCAAGGTATGGGTAAGCCATGTATTGAATGCTTCTCATACAAAGATACTGGTTGTTCCAACATTTCAAAGACAAAATGCATATTTAACTGCCAATGATGAAATGCCAGTTCTGCTAAAACTAGGAGGAGTTTTGCCAATGAATTCATTCTGGCTGGCAAGTCACCCTAAGACTTTTAAGGCTGTGTTCATTATTATAATTAGTTGTCTCACATGGATATATAATTAGTACATGCATTGAGTATTAAATGTTGCTCTAATCAAATGGTGATAGCATCCATCAATAAAATTGACCAGTAAAGTATTTCCAAATGCAGGAAAGTTAATGGAAAGAGTCAGTTTTATCACCTGAAATGTAACCGTTTAGGACTTCTATACAGCCGCTTGAGGTGCTCCGCTGAATGATATTTCTTACAGGCAAGAGTGAACCAGAGAGCATTTGCTAGAGGAATTGAGGGGAGATGTCTCATAGGAGAAAAAATTGTGGCTTTGCTTTCTTTTCACAGCTGTTTTATCCTGTGCCCACTTCTACACACATTCCATCAACCTCCTCTTTCTCCCTTATATGTGCTCCCCTTGCCTGTACAATGGGTATGAGAGTACCATAGCAAGATATGAAAGACAGGCCATTACAGATGTTACTTCTGGCTGGCACACAGAAAAACCAGCTGATGGAAAAACAGACATTATTTAAACTATTTGTTCTGTTAGTGTGTCACTGCAACCCTCCCTATTGATCCTGCTCCTGCCGAATTCAGTGTCTTTAATTCCTGATGACTTTGAAGGAGTAGGTACAGGTCTGTGATAATTTTTAATTAAAAATAAACGTAAATACAGTACATTATTTTGCTTTCTTACCAGGTGAGAACCAAAGACCATGTGTTTGATAGTGTGGGTCATCTTATTCGCTACCACATGGAAAATAATCTGCCAATCATCTCTTCTGGAAGTGAAGTGAGCTTGAAACAGCCAGTGAGAAAAAAGAGTAACATAGGACACATGCAATACAACAAGTAATGCTGTTGGATCTGAAAATTCCCAAGGCAATTCATTTGTGAAAACTGCACTGGCTATTCTTAAACTTCATTACTACAAAGCCAACTCAAAAAGTATGAACTGCACTTTTCAGCTGCTGTTATGGAAGACTTCTTTTTATGTGTATGTATGAATATATGTACATCTATGTAGAGCTATGGAGATCAGTAAACACAGCTATATAGATATATATATAGTGTTAATCTCAGCAAAATGAAACCCCTGGAGTAGTGTGAGAGATCCAGTTGGGAAAAAATATTAAAGACATGCACAGATGTCACTTTCAAGGTCATATTGAATCAGTAACTATTTTAAAAGCACAATTAAACTTTTAAATGAAAAAGCTCACTTGAACAAACTGCTGGGACATTAGTATGTGCCTTTTAGTAATGGAATTATTGGAAACAAATATTATTTATATTGGATTAGTTTCAAGTGGATATATGAACATGTATAGGTTTATAACTATTTGCCAAAACAAACTATTTGAATATTACTAACATGTCACTTGCTTACAGTAGACACTAATTTTATTTCATTTTGCTTATAACAGCACTTTAATAGCAAATCATGTTTGGAATTAATTGCATACACAATATGGAAAGGTTGCCTGTTTTCTTAGAAACAATTAATTTTTTAATCATTGTCTGCTCAAAAATTTGAGATTATGAAACATTTACTAAATTGAAATAAAGATATGTAAATGAAATATAATTTTGGAATAGAATGTATCAAAAAGCAAGCATGCTGGAGCCTAATATTTTGGTGTCTTGCATATAATTTTATTATTATTGCCAATAATTACTGGAAGTCTCTTTTTTAAAACTAGGTTATATACTGTATATTTTTAATTGATTCCATAGATATTTATGGCTTAGCAAAACTGAACGAGACAAATAATACATTTTGAGGAAAAAAACTATTTAAAAAAACTATTTGAATTTTGCATGTTCTAGAGATTATTGTACATACTTATTTCCAAAATGATGTGATAACTTCCCCTTGCTTATTTAGATTCCATTTGATCATAAACATTGGAAATATCTTTTTAAGAAAATATATTCTGTTTTGTCACAATAAATGCTGTAATCAGCATATCTGAGAGGGTCAGTAGTTTATTGGTAGTTAAGAAGCAGTGTTTCAATGAGTAATAGGAATAAGAAGGTGGAAGTGGAACTGAAGGTTCTTGTGGGGAGTTATCTAAGGTTTAAAAGCTGGCCACATTTTTCAGTTTTTCTGACAATTCTGAAAAACTGAAACAAAGTTTTGTTTTGGGTAGGAAAAAAAGCCAATTTCACAAATAGCTCTGGGTCAACCAAAAGTGCATTTTTAGGGGAATAAATCAGTTGCAGAGAATAATGAGCTCTGCTCTAATAAGGATATCCTTGATTGTGCCAAATGGCATCACTTATTTTAAAACCAATAAACGGCACCCACAATTTGCCAAATTCAATTCCATTATCCTCTGATAAATGAGCTTCACCAGAAACAAGGAAATTTGGTGTCCTCCATTCAATATGAACATTGTATAGGATGTTACAAAAATAGATTTTTGCTTTTTGAAAGAAAAAAAAAAGGCTCACATATAGGATAAAAGATCTGGCAACTGAGGACATAGTTTTCCATTGAAGGAAAAATTGGATTATTTGAAGAGCAGTTTTTAAGTGGTGTGCAATGACTTCCCATTTTTCACCATTAGTTTCTAGGCTGAAAAAACTATAATCTTTCATCCAGTGTAATAAAGTCATTAGAATATTCAGTTCACGTACACACCTTGAAGCAAGGAGAAGATTTGAAATGTCGCTGTATCTGATTGATTAACGGCCTAGTATGGTTCCAATTTGGTGCCTTCAGGACTGAAGACCTATGTTAATTCTATTTGCTCATAGCAAAGGTTCTAATCCGTGGATCAGAGCCCCAAAGAGTGTCATTTAAGAATTCTGTTACGTTGCTGGCAAAGTGGTGTCAGGTACTTGTTGGTGCTCTGCATACTCTCCCTTAGCTAGAGGACCACAGTGTAACTTGCTCAATATATGTGCATTAAACCAAGGGAGGAGCAGAGAGAACCTCTTTGACTATTTGTCTGTGAAAGGGAAAAACTGATAGACTTGCTTGGCTGTCTTGTCAAAGCTGGAGGAGGGAGGGTGAGATCCCAGAAAGGAGATAGAAAGTGGAGTGTGTGTGGAGCTCCCCCCACCAGATCTAATTTAAATCTTCCTAAGATTTGAAAAACAAAATGTTTGGGGCTGTGGTGCCTGGGAGAAGTTAACTGAATATGGTATTGAGAATGAATGTCCAAGAACTTTCATTTTGCTCATAGGCAATGTATCCAGAAAACATCTAGCATGTGAGTATGGTATTTATAGCTTGATGAGAAACAGACTGAAATTGCCATCCACAAATTGAAGATCCCAACCTTTAGGAAAATTTGGTTCAGAGCCCAGCCTTTATGACTTGGGCTTCTCTTGTGTGTCACTGGAGCAAAATTGAGGGGGAGGGAGGAAAAGTTGGCTAAAATGTACAGTGATGGAATAATCAAGTGATATCTCAGATTCTGTTGCTGTGGAAGAGAGAAAATAGAAGAATCCTGAAGACTAAGGATACAACACCAATGCTGCTGTTTTATCAAAAGCATATGGATATTTTTCAGACATGTTTCTAGATTAAATTACAGCCACCCTCCAGGAACATGGAAAAGAACTTCAGTTTGTCTTTTCCAAAATAACATAGAAACTTCTATCATTTGAGTTTTTATAGTCCCTGGTCCCTATGTGAGCCAGCTACTGCATACAAAGTATATTACCTATGTATAGCGGCAGAATTCTAGAAAGTTCCCTAGGCAATTTTTGCCTGAAAACCATATTAGAGCTGCTGGGAAAAGTCTGTGACATGAATTGGCAAGCGTGCCTATTCAAGTAACTTCACCTTTCTGAGCCCATGGGGATATTACTTTTCAACTGACATTGTAAGAACTGATTAATATAAAAGCTCAATCTGTGCTAAGTATTATTAAGATGTTGTTAAACCCCACGAGGAAGGACACAGATGTACACAGGGAAGCCATATTAGAAATGCACAGCATATTAGTCCCCTTATCAAAGTGTATGCAGATTCCACTTGAACAACAAAAATTTGCTTGAATAAATTAAGATGTGGATTGTTTCAATTAATAACATGCTATTATGTGACCCACAAACCTAGTGTGGTTCACTGTCCCATGTAGTTTCATTTAGATGGCCTATAGCAAGAGCTAAGAAGAAGAGTGCTCTACAGCCTAAGCTGAGCAGCTGCTGGCTTTATAGCTGAAGCTGCAGAGGATCCTACACTAATCTCCACAGCTCCCAGGTTCAAATCTGGGCAGTGGTGGTTACAAGTGGGGGCCCATCTCGGATCTCAACTGGGTCTCTGAAGTTTGGGATATGCTTCCTCAGCCAGGGGAAGTATGTAACCCACCTAATGTGGTTCACTGTCCCATCCAGTGGCACTTAGACCAAGTGGCACTTACAGCAAGCAATAAGAAGGGAGCTCTGAGCCAGCTGGCTTTATAACTCAAACTGTAGGCTCCTACACTAAGCTCCAGAGGTCCTAGGTTCAAATCTGTCCAGTCGTGGTAACACTAACACACACAACATAGGAATGGCCATACTGGGTCAGACCAAAGGTCCATCTAGCCCAGTATCCTGTCTGCTGACAGTGGCCAGTACAGATGCCCCAGAGAGGGAGGGAACACAACAGGTAATCATCAGGTGATTCCTCTCCTGTCATTCATTTCCAGACAAACAGAGGTTAGGGACACCATTCCTACCTATCCTGACTAACAGCCATTGATAGACCTAACCTCCATGAATCTATCTAGCTCTTCTTTGAACCCTGTGAGAGTCCTAGTCTTCATAACATCCCCAGGCAAGGAGTTCCTTTTGTTTTAAACCTGCTGCTTATTAATTTCATTTGGTAACCCTTAGTTCTTATATTGTGGAAATGAATAAATAACTTTTCCTCCTCTTTTTCCACACCAGTTATGATTTTATAGATCTACAAATATTTTATGGAAGGTGTCAACCGTGGTGCAGTAACACACATTCTGTATTTTTCTTAGTAGGAGAACAAATGGTTCCTATGTGGGAAGACCCTTCTATTAATTTTGTTATGCAAATTATTGGTACAGGAAAGGCTTGTGGAGTTCTTTTTTCTGCTGGAGAGTTTGGTTTTTTGCCATGGCTTCTGATTATCAATTCTTCAGGCAGAGTTTACTGAGAATCAAGGACTGGTGTTGGGCTGAAAGTGCTGAAAATAAAGGGATATTCCTAAATGTTATTTTACCACTTCAAACTAGTCTAGTGTGTGTGATGATAAAACCAAACATACTTTAAAAATGTCCAGCAATTCACAATGATTGGGGAGGCAAATGTACCCCAAGACTTTTGTACTTGCTCAAAGTTTCACTTGGAGCCAGGGAGCCAGGGCTTGACAGCTCTTAAGTGGTAAAATTGTGATAAATCAATATGACCTATCCTGGAGCAGCCTTGAGTGTTCTTTCACTATTGTGTCTAGACTGGCAAGTTTTTCCGCAAAATCATCTGCTTTTGCGGAAAAACTATGCTGCTTCCGTTCGGGCAAAAGTCTTTTTCTGAAAAACTTTTGCACAAAAGGTCCAGTGTAGACAGCAGAGATTTGTTTTCCACAAAAAAGCCCCGATCACGAAAATGGCGATCGGGGCTTTTTTGCAGAAAAGCGCGTCTAGATTGCCCACGGACGCTTTTCCGCAAAAAGTGCTTTTGCGGAAAAGCATCCTGCCAATCTAGACGCTCTTTTCCGAAAATGCCTTTAATGGAAAACTTTTCTGCTAAAAGCATTTCCGGAAAATCATGCCAGTGTAGACGTAGCCTATGTGGTTGCTATATTATAGAAATTTGATCTGGCCACCCCAGAAAACAGAGGCAATGTCTGTGAGTGGGAATGTGATCTTTCCCAATGGATCAAAACACCCCTCAAATTTTGATAGGTCCCCTCTGTCCAGATAGAGGAGCAGCTGGGCCACAAAATGATGTGACTTGGTACATGGGGAATGTGTTCTAACACAGCAGAATGCAGAGGATTCCATTCAGAACTCAGCTCCTGGAGGCACTGGTTCATGCATTGTGTGGCTGAGAGGGGGAAACTCTATGCTGAGGGAAGACCTTGAGTCCCAGTGGAAGGAAGGAGATGAGAGGGGTCCAAATGTGGTCTCCAGGCGAAGACTGGAATTTGATCCCTTCCCACAAAATATCTGAATTGGTCCCACTTACTTCCAGACTCAATGTCAATGATTTATTCTCCACCCGGAAGTCAACCTGGAAGGCTGCATCCAGCCAACTGCACTCAAAGAGCTAACCTTAAAATCAGTTTCAGAACTCTCATAACATAGCCTCTATATGATGCCAGCACATTTCTGCAGAAGGTGGTTTCCTGTGCCATGGTCTCTTGCTATGATGTAATGTCATGTTGCAGTGATGTCATGTCTTGATGGCATCCTGACATGGCAACATGTTGCTATGGCATCACATGTTGCTTTCATACATGGTAGATCTCTTAGTGTGTGCAGATGACACACCCCGCCCTGTCATGACCCCTCACAGCTGGAAGCCTGCCCTGCACAGAAAGAGCAGGGAGAAGAGATTGACTAGCAGCTGCTGGGCCGCTATAACCCGCCCCTACCAGCCATAGGCTAAGATCCCGAGCCAATCAGGAAATGACTGTGCTTCCCGCGGCCTCTCGCGCCTGCTTTCAAACTGCAAACACTGGCTTTTGCGGCGCAACCGAACTTGAGGAACAAGTAAGTCCCGCCCTCGTGGTAAGGCGGAGAACGGTGGCCTGGTCGGTGGCTGGAGGATTCGGCTATCACTCAACAGGGAAGTTAAGCTGTCACGCGGAAGGCTACCGGAAAGATCTGATGGACGGCGACTAGCTGTATTGTCCTGTGGACCCGGTGAGTATCGGTGAAGGCGCCGCTCCTGCAGGCCCGTCCGGAGTAGGAGTCTCCCGCCGCGGGACGGACTCTTGAACGCGGGCCCGGCGTCTCCCCTGCTCCCATCGCAGGGCGCACGAGCCCCGTTCCCAACCCGCCGGGGGGTTCACTGGGTGGCTAGGGCCGTGCCGAGCGAGCGGGGCACCTCCCGCCTTCGGCGCTTCCATGGGAACGCGGAGAGGGATGCGCGAGGGCAGCAAACTGCGGCTGCGGGCTTGTCTTCTCTGTCCTTGGGGGGCCGCGGGTCTGCGAATCCCCGCGAGTGCGCGATCTTCGCAGGGGTGCAGCCCTAAGACTGCCGCGCCCCCACTGGAGTCAGTAGCGTGCCGGGCAGGGAGCTGAACCCCCGCCGCTGGACTCTGAGGATTCATTCTTAAAACCTGCTCGCGTTTAGGTCCAGTGGTTAATGAAGTACAGCACTGACCTTGCGGCCCGTGTAGAGCCGATGTTGCGGTGGATGTTTCCTTATTGCTCGGTGAGAAAGCTTCTTTGACAGAAGCAAAAGGGATTTTCTCTTCTTGAGTTAATTAAAAAAAAAACAGGTGTTCTTCAAATCCATTTCTGGGTACTATATCTTGATTTAAACCTCCCCCCCATCTTAAAGCCTTGCTCTGCTTTCACAGGCTGGTTTATAAGCATTTTTCTAGCAAGGGGAAGTAAGAACAATACCAGATTCCTATGAACTTTGCATAAGGAAGGAATCACAGCAGACCATCATCAAAAGAGTGAACTTGGTTAGACACAAACTACTGCAAAATTCACAAAATAAAACAACAAAGAATGTTCCTGCTCCTTTCAGTTGTAGTCATTTTGGGTGTTATTTGTGATAATATAATAAGTAAAGAAATAAATCTTCAGTTAACTTCTGAAACTCCAGTGTACATTTTTATCTGCATGTGTCTGAAATTGAATAGGTGGGTGATATTAGTACCTCTCTTTGAAAATTCCAGATGTAATATCACATTGCTTTTTTTTTTCCTTAACTAGTATTGTGAACATTCAAGTAGTGTTAGAAACGGGTAGATCGCCAATGAGTCTAGAACTATGCATATGATGAGAAAGCTGTTGTGTTTAAAAGGTGAGTGTGTGCATTCTTCTTGTGCACAAGATTTGAAAAATTCCTGGATGTATCGTGAGTGGGTGCTAGCAACTTCTGCAGGATTTTGTTGTGAAAAGAGCTCTTTAATATGAAAAGGATGTACAGATTAACATAAATAAAACATCCTTACAAAAACACCAACCTGCACACAACTCTTCCACTGGGGAAAAGGGAGAGCAAGGAATAGACCTGCACATGATAGGTGTTAGTCCTGTCACTATGTACTAGAAGCTGCCCAGATGCTATGGTGAGGAATGTATTAGAACCTAAAGGTAATGCAGTAGGCCTGTGGTTCTCCAACCTTTTGGGCTCTGGAGCCCTTTACACGTGTAAAAAAAATTATGCCGAGCCCCAGCAGTCCACTGATTGTATATGTTGTACCTATTGATGTTTCCAGTTTGTCAACCTCGCAGAGCCGCTGGAGATGTCTCCCGGAGCCCTGCGGCTCCGCGGAGCACAGTTTGAGAAACACTGCAGCAGGCTTTCAGAGAAAAATGTTGTTTGCAATCAAGCTAAATGAATGTGGTGCCACTTCCTAATTCTGCAGCTTGCTTCAGTGCCATGTTTACTGTTTATTGCTTTGTCAAGTAAAATGAAAATTGACAAGACCTAAAGAAGAGTGCTGTGTAGCTTGTCTCTTTCACCAATAAGACATGGGCCAATAAAATATACTAATTCATCCACTTTTTTTGGTCAATGTTATGCTACTTCAGGGTTCTGAATAACTGCATTGAAACTGACAAGAAGTGGGTTAATTTCACTGCTGCTGGTTAGGAAAATTTCAGTAGCTGCAGATGGAGTGCAAGAGCTATTCACTGGAGATGATTTAAAAACAGAGGCTGAAAGAAGGGGTAGATCAGGACTGCTGCAAACAGTAAGGTAAACTGCCCCATATTTGTCTTCCTTCTGTGAATGATGAAGAATAATATAGCAACATTAGTCACCGAAGTAACCTTAAGCATATTTTGAAGGAAATTTTGGGATGGATGCTAATTGTCCTGTAGGCAATATTCAGATTAAGTATAAGTAGACAAACATATTTAAAGTAATTATGTACAAAACATTATATTGTTGACTCCAGTTGGATGTCATCTACTTTTCTTGATTGGGGAATGACACTTTTATTAAACCTATTATTTGGGCATAGAATGAGAATAGCAACATGTACTACAACTATATGTCAGAAAAAAATGGGGGAGGCTAAATATAATGTATACTACTATTGCAGTAGTTCTGGTATTGCTGTTTATAGCTGATCAGAAAAGACTTAGCAGCTAATTAAGGCCAGTCAGATGTCTTTAATTGACTAGGGGTTTTGGGTTTTTTTGCTTCCATTATGGCTTGTACCAGTGCTCTGGCAGCAGCATACTTCCAGCATTTTTGTCTGTTACATGAACTATAAAACAAAAACAAACATAACAAAAACAGGATTAATAGGAGGTAGCACTTATCCACCTTTCCCAAGTGAGTGCATAACAACTCCCTAGGGCCCAATATTTTGAAATAACTTATGTTCTCAAGAAATATCTTAAGTAAACTGTTTATTTGAATGTTCATGTAATGATTAAAGTTTAAATACTTAAATAACTTTTAGATGTTAAAGTGTTTCAATTACTAAAATACTGAATTCTTAGAAATTAAAAAGTCTTGCTAATACATGGAAATAATACAGTTGAAGATCAAGTTAATGCACTGGTAGTTGCAGTACTTGTTCTGAAGTAAACATTTTGTTACCTGTCCATTTGATTTTTGTTGTTGCTCATATGTAACTTTCTTCCTCCTGTGATAGGTTTTCAACAAATTGGATAACAAAAACTTAACTTATTGGAAAGCAATGTCACTCGACTTTGATAGTGGAGCTCTACAAACGCAACATGAAGAAGATGAATATGACCAGGAGGATTATGCAAGAGAGCAAGAGGTGAAAGCAAAGAAATTACATAAATCTGAAGGCTTGTTTAACTCGTACCTTTTCACTTTTATCCATACTTGTAATTATTTTAAAGGCTTAGACATTTGAATGTTTTACATCCCAAGGCTCTCCTGAGAGCACTGCATGAAATACTACAGTACATTGTTTTTAAAAGAACTATGTCAGATGTCAGGAAGAGATGAGAGCCTACTTTTTAAGGAAGGAAGCTCACAACAAAGTATGCCGTGTTTATGAGAACTGCACATCTTTAGTATATGAGGAGACAAAGCTAAAAGCCTCCATTACCTGAGAATTGTGGTTATTTTTCAGTAACCTCTTCCCTTGTTAAGATTACTTGCTTAGGTGACTAAAGTTTTGGTTGGAATTGGGGGAAATAATTTTAATCTGACCACCAGCTTGATGGTGACACACAAAATGTGTTTTAATATTTTCATTTTGGAGTGAGGCATTTCCTTATCTGGCTATGCTGGATGCTTTCAAAGTGGCAGAAAACTGAATTTTTATTTAAATCCAAATACAGGCAGTCCCCGGGTTACATACAAGATAGGGACTGTAGGTTTGTTCTTAAGTTGAATCTGTATGTAAGTCGGAACTGTCCAGATTCAGCCGCTGCTGAAACTGACCGCCAGTTCTGATTTACATACAGATTCAACTTAAGAACCCCAAGCTTCCCCAAGTCAGCTGCTGCTGAAACTGATCAGCGCTGATTCCAGGAAGCCTGGGGCAGAGCAACTCTGCCTAGGGCTTCCTGTAGTCAGCGCTGGTCAGTTTCAGCAGCGGGTGACTTGGGGACTCCTGGGGCAGAGCAGCTGGGGTGCTGCTGGGTTGCTCCAGTAGCGCCCAGAGCGGCGCTGCGGGACCAACCGGCAGTGCCCCAGCTGCTCTGCCACAGGCGTCCAGAGAAAAGCCTAGTCTGCTGGGGGGGGGAGGCGTACTAGCTGCGCCCCCCCCACCCCAGCAGACCAGGGAGACGC